CTATATGTCTTCATGAATATTATCAATCTTTGTGAATATTATAACTTACATAGCTGCTCTTTGAATGGTGAGATCATTTGGATGTTTTTCCATTTGAGTGAGAAGAAGCTGTGCAAATGGAATTAAAAAGAATTAGATTAGTTTAAAACCCTAAGGCTTTCAAAACATCATATAGGCAAGAGTTTTCTCTTTGACAAGGAAAAATACGATTAAGAAACAACATTCTCAAATGAATTTTTTTCACTTTTGCAGGGTTTTCATGAGAAATGTATCAGTAGGAATGAAATCAAAATTCCTTTGGCTTTTGAACTGTAATCTAATCAACCACAACTCGAGATATTTAAATACCTGATTATCATGCCAAAAAATGCTGCTTTGATTAATAACAATCTCTAATTAAATGAATTTAGAATTTATTTTTATTGATTAATATGTTATGTCTCTTACCTCAATGTTTTTCTCTGAGCCAAGAGCAAGTTTTTCTTGCTCAGTCAGCTGCACAAGTGTGGAATTAGAAAAGCCTTTAATTAGTAACCCAGATACTTCAAATTACAGCAGGGAACCACTCAAGTTAATAGTTTTAGTAATTAAAATAATTGTCCAGACATGCATATCTTTGCAGACTCAAAAATCTGATTGTTAATTCTCCCCTTTGGCTGCTACACTTTTCCTTGTGCAGGAATTTTGTGCTAGATCAATATAAATAACTTCTACCACATAAGTTTGAGTTTTCTCGTTATCTGTTTGCTGGATAATGTATAGATATTATAAGTTTGAGTACTCTCATTATCTGTTTGCTGGATAATGTATGAATATTATAGGAAGAAGTTATATGAGAATCACCTCTAAGAATGAAAGAGTTTACTAATTCAGTGAACAAGGTAACTTAACAATAAGAGAGAGAGAGAGAGAGGGGAGGGGGGGGGAGGAGGAAGTGAATATTCAAGCAGGAGAAGCAATTATTATTCAAAATGTCTGCAGGTACTAATTCAAGGGGAAATGCTAATGAAATTTTGGGTCAATGTCAATATCTGAGCAATTACACACCTACCCCTCCCCTAACCACCAACAGCCAACTGATGACAAGTCAAGTTAATGTTGGGTTAGAGAAGGGGTAGTTGTGTAATTGCTCAGATTCTGGCATTGATCCAAACTTTTATTAGCATTTCCCCTTGAATTAGTAACTGCAGACATTTTGAATAATGAGTGCTTCTCCTGCTTTTCCAATATTTGAGTGTCAAGTTGAGCAAAGAATCTATCTAAAAGTGCAATTTTTTTAATATTTGTCTACTATACCATGATACCTTGAGACACAGTTTGGCACATAGCTCTATAGCCAGCCGACAAATATCCTGGTTACCATGGAAATTGCACAGAGCATCCATAGCCAAGCATGATGCTTCAAAATAGTTGAATGCCTGCAAAGTAAAAATCAAGTTATTGGCTTCCAACTCTATTTGGTGACATACATCTCTTAACAGTTTCTAGTGGCCCTAAATTTTCAGCCCATATTCTAGAGCCACTATTCCTTCAATGCACTGGAGATAATATACAATATTTGAATCATTTCTACTTACTGCTTTTGTGACAACTTGTTTTGACCCCAAAATTGACATACAATTCTGCAAAAGCTATGGAAAGAAAGAAAAAGGGGCAGTGCTCATGACAAACACTGAGTGATTGAGTTAGATTAGGCAGACCTGGAAAATATTGGCATGAGGCTATGTAAGAATTTCCTGTCTGTTCCTTGTGCTCAGTCGATGAATACATTAATTCTGCTCTGATTATTTTCTGATGTTTCATTGTTCTGTCATTTTATCATAAGATCAAGCAGAATCAAAACACAATAGAGAGTCTTTGATGGTAGATTACTGTTTGCCTTGATTCATTTATCATAAATAATGCAAATTCTTACCAGATGCTTTTCTGGAAAGGTTTTCATTGCTGATAGAACCAAAGATGCAAGTTTACTGAAAAGTCAATCAGAAGATAACTAAAGATAATCACATTGAATCATTCTGTCATCAGAGTAAGCAAGTTAGGGGCATAACTTGCACAAACAGCATGTTAACTTCAAAAGATTCTGACTAATTGTTAACTTTTAACTACTCAAATAATAAAAGTGAAAATTAACCACTTTTCTACCTCAGGTTGTCAAGGCAGTGGTTTAACCAATGACATGTAGCAGCGGGGCATGGAAGGTTTGCACTTCTCCCCTTCCTTTCCCACCCCTCCCAACGGCCAACTTTTGAGTAAGTAACCATTTAACACACTGGTATTTTTTGTGTTGTGTTGATAGGTGCGTAAAGGTGGGCTGTAGCTTGATTGCCAGGGTGACCACCTGGTAGCCAAGACAGCTGTTGCTATGTTTTGTTGCTTGACAACACCAGCCCTCTAATACCACTTTGGAAGTATTTCAAACATACTTAATCATGTATTCAGTGAGAATTTACCTTAAGAAATGAGGATGCACTTCTGGGTCTGCTTCTCCTCCTCTTGCCATGACAATGTTACCTACAAAAAATCTGAATTCGAAAGAACATCCAAAACATGTTAATAAATTGTAATGTTTATATAATAGGGTCAAAACTTTGTTTTAAAAATAATAATCAAAATGTTTTTAAAATTTGTTTTTTATAAAAAAAAATTGTTTTATTTTGAATGATAATCCTAACTATACATGTTGATGAATATTATCAATCTTCATGGATATTATAACTTACATAGCTGCTCTTTGAATGTTGAAATCATTCGGATGTTTTTCCATTTGAGTGAGAACAAGCTGTGCAAATGGAATTAAAAAGAATTAGATTAGTTTAAAACCCTAAGGCTTTCAAAACATCATATAGGCAAGAGTTTTCCCTTTGACAAGGAAAAATATTATTAAGAAACAACATTTTCAAATGAACTTTTTTCACTTCTGCAGGGTTTTCATAAGAAATGTATTAGTAGGAATGAAAACAAAATTCCTTTGGCCTTTGAACTGTAATCTAATCAACCACAACTTGAGATATTTAAATACCTGATTATCATGCCAAAAAATGCTGCTTTGATTAATAACAATCACTAATTAAATGAATTTAGAATTTTTTTTTATTGATTAATATGTTACGTCTCTTACCTCAATGTTTTCCTCTGAGCCAAAAGCAAGTTTTTGTTGCTTAATTGTTTTAAATTAACAAATTATAACTGAGAACCACTCAAGCTGCACAATTAAAAAAATTGTCTAGACATGCATGTCTTTGCAGACTCAAAGATGTGGAATTAGAAAAGCCTTTAATTTTGTAACCCAGATAATTCAAATTGATTGAGAGAACAGCAATAAAAAGAGGAGAGAGACCACTCAAGTTAATAATAATTCAAGGGGAAATGCTAATGAAAGTTTGGGTCAATGTCAGTATCTGAGCAATTACACACCTACCCCTCCCCTAACCACCAACAGCCAACTGATGACAAGTTAATGTTGGGTTAGAGGAGGGGTAGGTGTGTAATTGCTCAGATACTGACATTGCATGATCCAAACTTTTATTAGCATTTCCTCTTGAATTAGTAACTGCAGACATTTTGAATAATGAGTGCTTCTCCTGCTTTTCCAATATTTGAGTGTCAAATTGAGCAAAGAATCTATCTAAAAGTGCAATTTTTTTAGTATTTGTCTACTATACCATGATACCTTGAGACACAGTTTGGCACATAGCTCTATAGCCTGCTGACAAACATCCTGGTTACGGCGGAAATTGCACAGAGCATCCATAGCCAAGCATGATGCTTCAAAATAGTTGAATGTCTGCAAAGTAAAAATCAAGTTATTTGTTTCCAACTCTAATTGGTGACATACATCTCTTGACAGTTACTGCCCTAAATTTTCAGCCCATATTCTAGAGCCACTATTCCTTCAATGCACTGGAGATAATTTACAATATTTGAATCATTTCTACTTACTGCTTTTGTGACAACTTGTTTTGACCCCAAAATTGACATACAATTCCACATAAGCTATGGAAAGAAAGAAAAAGGGGCAGTGCTTTTGACAAACACTGAGTGATTGAATCAGATTAGGCAAACCTGGAAAATATTGGCATGAGGCTGTGTAAGAATTTCCTGTCTGTTCCTTGTGCTCAGTCGATGAATACATTAATTCTGCTCTGGTTATTTTCTGATGTTTCATTGTTCTTCTGTCCTTTTTTTATAACATCAAGCAGAATCAAAACATAATAGAGAGTCTTTGATGATAGATTACATAACTGTTTGTCTTGATTCATTTATCATAAATAAAATGAATTCTTACCTCATGCTTTTCTGGAAAGATTCTCATTTCTGACAGAACCAAAGATGCAACTTTACTGAAAAATCAAACAGAAGACACTAAAGATAATCACACTGAATAATTCTGTCACCTGAGTAAGGAAGTTAGAGGCATAACTTGCACAAAGTGCATGTTAACTTGAAAGGATTCTGACTATAATTGTTCACTTTTAACATATCAAGTAACAAATTTATTGTGAAAATTACCACCTCTCTACCTTAGATGAATAAGACAGTGGTTTAACAAACATGTTGGAGGGAGGGGGGCATGGAGGGAGACATGGAGGGTTTACACTCCCCACCCCACCTTAACTTCCACATTTTTAGTTTGTAACCATTTCACATACTGGTTTTTTTTGTGTTGTGTTGACAGGTGCTTAAAGGAGGGCTGTGGCTTGATTGCCATGGCGACCACCTGGTTGCACAGAATACTACTGCTATCTTCCGTTTACACAACAACACCAGCCATCTAATACTGTTTCGGAAGTGTGTTAACCATATTTAATCATGTATCCAGTAATAATTTTTATTACCTTAAGAAACTAGGATGCACTTCTGGGTCTGCTTCTCCTCCTCTTTCTTTGATAATGTTACCTACACAAGCTCTGAATTCAAAAGATCATTCACTCTATAATCAAACCTTTGATTTGAAAATAATCAAAATTTTTAGAAAATTTTTTTTATTTTAATAAACAAAATTGTTTCATTTTGAATGATTATCATAACTATTCAAGAATCTTTGTGAATATTAACTTACGTAGTTGCTATTTGAACGTTGAGATCACCTGGATGTTTTTCCAGTGGAGTAAGAACAAGCTGTACAAATGGAATTAACAAGAATTAAACTAATTTTAAATCCTAAGGTTTTCAAAGCATCATATAGGTAAGAGTTTCCCCTTTCACAAAGAAAATTGTTAAGAGACAACATTGTTGAATGAATTTTTTTTCACTTCTGCAGGGTTTTCATGAGAATTAAATGCAGTAGTAGGAAATGAAAACAAAATTCCTTAGGCCTTTGAACTGTAGTTGGAGAATTCTGCACTGCAGGTAGTGAATTTTGCAATTTCTAAACTTAATGAAAAACCTGCTTGTGGTTGTTAAGTCAGTCAGGTTAAATATTCACATTGCTGCCATCATAAATCACAAAACCATGGTTCAAAATGAATATAGGTTGAAATTTTTTTTCTGTATACAATGATCACTCTTGGAGCTCAAAGGACCCTAGTGAACCTTAAGTTAACTGACTGAGCCATTTCATTGTCTACCTCGAGAACTTGTGGTTTTCCTGCTGTCCAATCATTACTGATGCGAAACAGTCCACTCAAAGCTTCTCTCATGTAATCAGCTCTGTCTGGGTACATTTGCAATGAACAAAGGATCTGTTTCTCAGTAGCTTCACCTGTAATCTGATGAAAGATAAGCCACATTTAATTTAATTTTTGACTTTTATAATGTAGTTGATGGATGAAAAGATTTCAGAAAATTACACTAAGTATCACGTAGCCAAGTCACATATCCCTTATGTTAGCAGCAATATCAGTTCTTACTGCATATAAGTGTAATGTAACTAACTCTGGTACAACACTTTTTGAAGAAACTGATGATTGTTGGGGGTAATCTTGTGATAGACTGGGATCCTATCCAGAGAGGGAGTAGAGCAACCCTCTGAGTCACTTAATGCTAAATAAACAGGGGTGTGAGCTGCAGCAAGATGGGCCACTAGGTTTGAGTATAGACTTTACATTGAGTCTCTCAACAATATGGAACTCTGAAGGCATATTTTTATGAAAATTGCAAAATATCTCCAACAAACTTTAAAGATTCTCACCATTCTGGTTCAAAACAATGAAATTTTTTCACTGTTTCATATCATTAGTTTATTATATTATTATGATACTTCTACCTTAATAAGAGGAGAAATTCTTTCCAGTTGTTCTTGTAAATTCCGTGACATCAAACAAAGGCCAAGGAACTCAAGTTTAGGATGAGAACTAAGAAATGACTGCAAAGCGTCTGCTGTTATTGTGGAAACACCTGAAACATCCAGAGAGACCAGGTTTGGCATCATACATTGGTCTGTAAGCATTTCATCAAATTTCACAGACTCGTTTGTCCCATCGTGGTGAAAATCATTATCAGAACTTCTTGAAATATCAAGCTTCTGTAATGATGTAAAGTCCTTAAACTCAGCAGGTTTTGTCCATGCCACTGGTGTGTTAAAAGCGATTAATGTTTTCAGTCGACCTCTTAGATTCCCAAATGAAGAGACATGTCTTATCGCAGTGTTCGAGATATTAATGTGTTGTAAACAATCCATATTCTGTGCAGCAACCGACATCACGCGGTCGTCTACAGCAGTGCAATGGCTCACATCCAAATGAGTCAAACAGTTCAGTGGCTTCATGGCAGCAAAGTCCAAGGCAAATGGTGTGCAACTCAAATTTAACTCCCTTACTGTCGATGACATTCCATTCAAAAGTTGATAAAATAAAGGCGAGGAGAACGTTTTTGTTCCAGATAAGTCTAGTTTCTCAACTTTGTGTTTTCCAAGGAACAGTTTCAGCATTGAAAAACTCAGCTGACATTTCCTGAGATAGAAATGTCTGATTCTACATCTCCGCGGATCAACAAATAAAGATGCAGTCCTATCTGTCAGGTTTCCATCACGTGAGAGACATCTCATAATATTGTCTGCCAGGTGTTCGTGGAGAAATAACGGAGAAATGAAACTAAGTTTTTGAAAAGAAACCTCGCCATACTGGACATCTTCAACATCCTTGTGGCATAAATCTTCAATGTTAGCACTGATAAAGCTCAGGCATATTTCTTCGAGAGAAGCTGGTGAAACTGTGCTCATGTTGAGACGCTGTTTTACAATGCAAGGAACTTAGAAGAAAATATAGTTGCACTAAAACACATGCAGTAAAAGCAGTTTAAGTTCCTCCACTTCTTTGACGCTCCTTCCTTGCGCCTTGATCTTCAATCATGCAGCTCCTTCGAGAAAAAAAATGTAAGTACACAGAAAATCAGATCAATAGTATAATCACAACTTCCGCGTTTATATTGAACTTGGTAGCCACTTGTTTAATCTCCGATCTTCAATCACCTGAATATATATCCTTCGAGAGAAAAACGATGTCCCAAGTACACAGAAAATCGAGGACAAGCGAAATGATTCGAGACACCAAAGACCAACTATAATTCCAAACCAGTTTAGTTCGAAGTCTGTAATCATAACTACTTCCGCATTACGTTTGTTTTGAACTTGGTCACCACTCGTTTAATCTCCGAAGCAATCCGAGCATGTCCGAGTATATATCGACTTCATTTCGAGTTTCCGAACAGTTAACCAAGGTTTCAAAACAGTTTTCTTTGGTAGGCATCGAGCTTTTATCAAAACTTAACTGTATATTGCGTTTAGTCTTAGATCTGCAAAGATGTCCTCAAAGAAAGGAAAATGGAAGGATTCAGCTTAACAGGCAAGGCGGCTGTCACAGACTTCATCTTCAAATTTAACACGAAAAGAAAGTTTGATCGGAGAAGAAACTTCTTCAAAAGAACTTGAGAAATATTTAGAGACATCAAAGAAAAAATCTGGAATCAGATCTCTTTGGAGAGGAAACAGTTTCGATAGAGTGGTCCGCGATGAGGAAGACAAAACTCCAGACATCTCGATCTCCAGTATGGAAGACGAGGAATTGGGTAAGTTCTTTCGAATCAAGCCGACTATTTTTCTGGTAACCTCAAGTTTATCAGCAGGACGACAGCTTATCGTTTAAATATTTATAGTATCACAGAACGTAAAGAACTGCTTTTAAATGTCATAGATTACTTTTAAAGTCGTCAATAATGCTTAAAATTATCAGGGAAAAGAAACGAAGAATAGTACAACAGTTTTGATTGTTACATTGCAACTTTTCTGTGTTGCTTAGCAACATGTAATGACACCATTTTACTGTCAGTCACTCTTTAACCCTTAAACTCCTATGAGTGACCAAGACAGAATTTCTCCTTACAATATCAATACAATATCAAACAGATAAGTAATGAGAATAAAGAAAAATATCAATTTGGAAATAATTAGTTGATCCAGTACAAAATTCTCTGAACTAACATTATAAGAATTGTATGGTTGACAGTGAGGGGAATTGCAAATTTGGTCTGGGAGTTGAGGGGTTAACAAATAGATTCCACACTGCTGTGGGTCTGTTTAGTAATAGATCACAGACGACATCAAAATGTGGTACACAGGGCAGAGCCAAGTGCGTTACTGCTGTTCTTACCACATTTTGATGTGTTTGTTTTTCTATTCAGTGAGAGAAAATAAATTTCTTTTTCCAATTTTGGACCTGCAGGGCTGGGCTCTTGTAGCACCTGGTGACCCCTGGCACCTTGCTTTTGCTCTTGGGCAACTAGGAGGTTTTTTTTTTCATTAGAAGCATATGCTGGGCTCCCTGGATTTCACAATTTCAGAGCACTGGGCTCCCTTCAATTTTTTTGAGAGCTCAGCCTTGTGCTGTTTCAGTTTGTCCTAAGTTTTCCCCCTGCAAGTTTTGTTAGTTATCCCTCTTGCAGTCACCATGGTAGAAGCCACCACAATAAAGACCATGCCATTGCAATCTCTTTTTTGTAGTCTGCATAAATTAACACCAGAAAACAATAAAAACTTCATAAAATGGCTACAAGAAGCTTGGAGGGTAGAGTAGAGTGGGGGCAAGGGGGAGTAGCTGTAAACGGACAGGTACCCCATCCTATGGGCGTGGTCACTTTACACTTTTCAAACTAAGTAAATTTCACAAGAAAGATCATTGAGCAATAGAGAAATGATAATTTTCCAGCTAATCTGCAGAATTCTCTGACTTAATTTTAATGACCTCAAATGTATTTTTATTCAGAGGTGGGGAATATTTTCCTGTCACTTTATGCAACTATTCTGCTTCTTTGTTTCTTTATGAAAATCCTGCTTCCTGCAGTTGTGGCACATTTAGGTTTTTGAGTGTACACAGCAACATAGTAGAAGGATAATGGTTTGTCCTCTTTTGTATCATCAGGAACCATGTAAGCTCTCTCCCCAAACAATGGCCATTCCACAGATCAGCATCACTGAGCAACATACCAGATCAACCACACATTAACTACTTGTCACTGTCAGTCAACAACACTCTCATTGAAGTTTTCAGTGAAGCAGACTTCAAATACCTTACTGATGATCAATGGCAGGAACTTCAACAAATCAACAGCCGCAGCTGCCACAGAGCTGTTACTTTTGAAAATGATATTTCTTGATCTGCCGTGGACTATTTAGTGGAATAACTAGTTCATGGCTACCCAGCAATACCAAGGAAAGTACTGCTTAGCTCCACAACATCCTGTGATTTCTGATGGTCATCATGGACCAACTATGGCCAGGAAATCAAGATAGATTTAGATAAAGATAGATAGATAGATAGTTTATTAAAAATGCATCACAGCCAAAGGCTGAATTACACAATTATTTACAAAAACTTTACAATACTTGAAAATTACAAATGAATCCTAGAAAAGAAATCAAAAACTGATTTTTAAGATAATAATAAAAAATTATATATAACATAGTCATATTGAAATATGTTAAAACATAAAGCATGAATATAAGTAGGATAAAACTACAGCCTGGACTGTTTCAACATTGCATATATAAAAGTATTACTTGTTCTGTTTGTGCAAAGGTTTGGCATATTAAAGAAGTGCTGTCCTCTTAGGTTATAGTGTGAGTTGTCATGGTCTGGTGGAAGAAGCACCTTCAATTTATGGTTTGGATCACAGACAATGTTATCAAAAAGCCTACTACATATTATGTACTTATACTCCAAAATGGGTGTTAACCACCTCTATTGCCGAGTTGCACTTTCCTGAGGTTATTATTGATATTGCTCTTTTCTCAAGCCGTACCAGCTCTTTCTAGAAGTACTGGGGGAGACCGTTAAAAAAGACAGGTGCTGCATAATCAATAACATATCTCATGCATGATACATAGAACAGTGCTAGATCTTGTTCGGAACTCCCACTCTCTTTAACTGAGTTAGGAAATAGAGTCTCTTGCTAGCCTTTTTGGTTATCTCAGTTACATGGTCATTCCATGTTAGATCGTTTGCTATTGTAAGGCCTAGTAGCTTTGTACTAGTGACTAACTCTACCTCCTTTCCTTCTATGATGACGGGATCAAAGACTCTTTGTTCTTTAGCAAAGGAGACCCTGAGTTCTTTGCACTTATTGGCATTTAGTTGGACCCTGTTCTCCCGAGACCACTCAATTACTCTGTTAGCTATTGCTTGCACATGACTTTTTCTCTGCCCTTTATCAAAAGGAATATCAAAAGGAACTTCTGTTTGTGATCATGGACTCTTCAACTCTGAAACATCCCAAGGGTGTAAAGCACCACCTCCTACTCCAGAGCCTGCCTCCAAAGATGAAATTACTTCAAATATTTTAGACATTACCAGGCTGAAAAAGCTTCCTAAGTTAATTTGAAATGCAAAATACTGACAGAAGTGGTTCTGAATCTTAACACAGAGATCTTTAATTCTGAAGGAATAATTATTTCTACAAGAGCGGGATTGACCTAAAGTTATGGGTGGAGAGGATTGCTGTGAGTGGAGGTTGGAGGTCAGGATTAGCTTGTGAAATTGTTAATTCAGCTGGTCAGGGAAATTTTGCCTTTTTCAGGGAAAAGTTAGGGAATTTCAAAATCCTATGACTGTGGCAACCATATAACCATGATATTCTCTCTCAAACTGAAAGAAGTTGGAATGTGGAGACATGTAGAATCTAGCAATTTGTGAAACAATTATGATTCTCCTAATGCCATTAAGACATCCTTTGTAACTGTGAACTTACCATCTTAAAATATGAATACAAGTGATATAAACCAAATCTAAGGCCATTAAATTACTAATTAGAATTTAAAAAAATGGCATGTCAGAGGCCAAAAGAGATCACCAAAAGCTAGGTTTGAATACAACAAATAAAACAAAACTGTAACCAAGGCCAGCACCCTAAAATTTATTTACTCTACTGTACATAAATCCTGCCTGTAAAATTTTTACATAGACCTGCCCAAGGCAATTGAGGAAAATATTTTATTGACAATACTGCTTTTAAGCTACAAAAAATAAACTTAATCTTAGTCAAATATTATAAGGTTGTCATTGAAGGTCTCTTCAAAAGAGTTAAGACTTAATCGTTCTCTGACTTGACTCAAAATTGGCCACAGTATTTAAAAGCTTCTGTGCCAGCTCTCTGACTCCATCATGTGATGTTTTTAAGACCCTCTGAACAATATCCAGGATTTCCCCATCAAAAAGAAGAGGGGCATAACGTTTTTCTGAAAAACAAGATTAGATTTGTGATGAGTTGATTGTCTGTTGATATTGCTCTTGGGCCAAGTTGTATAAAGGGTGGACAACACTATCCAACAGCTAAGATAAATCGTTATCCAGGGGATAAATGATAGCAAAACATACTGCGTTATCCACCAGATAGAGATTTCTCCAGTGGATAGAGTTATCCAAACTTCGAACAATCAGGGCCTGATTGACACATTACCATGAGTAAGTCATCTTCAAAATGGGACTACATCACAGATTACAAATCTCGAAAAATTTTGCCAAAAGTTTTCAAGTTTGTCTAATGCAAGACATGTAACCAAAGGTGCTGACAAGGAGAATTGGTATAAAAATCAAGAGCTTCTTTTGTTGTTGATCATTTCCTTTCTTCTCATGACCTTTATGTGTGACTCAGGGGTGATATTGTAAGGAGAAACTGCAGGTCAAAGGGTTAAACTTTTCCATGTTCATATGAGAAAGGTGTGCAAGTTTGTGTCCCAAATTCAATAAATTGTGACAGTTGTCTACCATAAACATAACAAGACCAGCTTCTAAATCTTGAGTGTACATCAGGCAAGAATTTTAGGATGATCATTGCTAAATTTGCTTGCTATGTATTACAAGAGCAATTG